CACACCCCCCTTTTCGCCAGAAATCAGCGCAGACAGCCAAATGGAGCATTCAGAGGATAATTCGATTGTGTTCAATTTAATTTTGACAAGCTTCAATGAAGACTAGTACTCACCTCCCTCCATTGCCCACCCTCCAAACTTGATTTGATTTTGTTTTATGTTTTTCCTGCTGGGAGAGAAGAAGCATGTTTTATGCCTCCTTTGCCCTCCCACTCCAACTCCCGTTTCCATCCGCCCTTTCCCAATTTTGCTCGACACAACAATTGCGTGGAGAATGGGTGTGACAGGGGGGAATAAGAGGCTGCGGGTCTGATGGTCTGATGGTCCGAAGGGGGAAGATAGCCCAGTTACGACAGCAGCCAAATGAAAGTTTTTGTGGTCACTTTGTGGCTTACAAGTTAACCAAATACGAGGATAGTTCCCAAGCTTTTGTCCCGATTGGGGAAATGAGTTTCGGTTATTGAAAATTCGTATGCGAGATTTTTCGAGGGAAAAACGAGAAAAGCGAATAAAGTGAGAAATGTTGAATGTTTAAAAAAAATATTGGTGTGTAGAAAAGATTGATTTATAAGACTTTGACTTAAACAACTCGGGAATAATCATGCTTCTATATTTTATATGGAGAGGTGCATTAGTTAGGCGTCGTTTTAGGTATCTTTTGAAAAATCTATAGATAAACGTCTAAGCTGCAGTCGTTTAACCAACCCTCTAAAAATACCATTTGTTGTTAACAATCATCTCAGCTTAGATTTTTTGTTGTATTTTATTATTTTTATACCCGTACTCAAAAAAGAGTTAAGGGGTATATTAGATTTGTACTAAAAGTGGATGTGTTACACACAGAGAAGGAAACGTTTCCGACCCCATAAAGTATATATATTCTTGATCAGCATCAATAGCCGAGTAGATATAGCCATGTCCATCTCTCCGTCGTCCGTCCGTCCATCTGTCCGTCTTGATAAGCGCCTGGATCTCAGAGACTATATCGTAGAGAATGACCATATCTACCAGGTTGCCGAATCTGAATCAGATCAGATCATAAATATAGCCAGAATGAAGAAATTGATTTTTAGTTGTTTCCCCCGCCCCCTGTGGATATAAGTATATCAAGTATATCACCCCGAATTTCGTCGCTTACCGAAAAATTGGCTTGCATATGGCAATTGAAATGTATGAGCGTTACGCATCTTATACTTATATTGTCTTTGGACCGTGCTACTCATTCTCTTTCTCGCTCGCACACTCTGCCGCGTTAAGTGCGCGAGCAACCCCTAGCGGAGGAGATGTAGAATATACATTGTATATATAGATGTAGATAACATATGTAGCAAAAAAATGTAAAATGTAAACTTATTTTTTTTAATTCTAAAATTCTAAAAAATCATGCTCAAATACTGACTGAGTACGGGTATAAGTAGAGTCGCGTCCCCAGAAGCGACTCACAGGTTCCTTCTCGTTTGTTAAGTATTTATGTCAATTTTCAAAAAGTATGATGATAGATTTTTAATTTGGGCTATTCCCTCTGCTGGCTTAATCATTTATAGTGCTTTATCCTTGCACTCCTCAAAAAAACTTACCATTCATTCCCCCTAAAGGTGGCAAACAGAGTTGAATTTTGTGTAATTTTATGAATTTTGAATAGTGTAATTAGACATACGAATACGTATGCATCTCATATCGGAGTGAGATGTCGTAGGGTGCATAGCCGCTGCAATGCAATACATACTCGTATGTACTTTTAATAATAAAAATATATGCCAATCGATACTATAAATTTGTAGAAAAAATATGTGTGTAAGTGGCTATCTGCGCAATCCGTGCCCAAAATTCCATGCGATTTTTAATGATAGCCAGAGAATGTGGCATTGTTTGCACAAACAAATTTGTACTTTTCTATAAATGGGTTCCTCAAGAATTAATAACACTAGTCAACACGATTTTTCCTCAAGGAACAAAACGAACTCTTTCTTAAAGATTTGGGGCTTAGAAATGGTTTGATGATATTTTTTTTTTTTCTATGGCAGAACTTTTTAAAGAATTTTTGAAAACTGTTTTTTTTCTAAGTTTTTTTCAGAGGTAGCGCTTGTTTTTTTCCACATAACTCTAGTATCTTACGATTGGCTGTAAAGAACTTTGCTATTTTGAACAGATAATTAAAACAGCTAGAAGTTAAGCCCAAACACTTTGTGATTTCAGATTACCGTCTGGGAAATCTAAAGCATTGAAATGCAAAAATGATGATTTTTGTGCGGTATTTTTTACGAAATTTCGACTATAAAAACTCAGGAAAAGTCGAAAAATAATTATATCCTGTGTCCTCTATTTTTTTAGATCAAACCATTTCTAAGCCCCAAATCTTTAAGAAAAAGTTCGTTTTGTTCCTTGAGGAAAAATCGTGTTGACTAGTGTAATTAATCAAAAAAATCTTAAATTTGGTCAGAAATTGTTTGAACGCCTATTTTATTTCATTTCTCCGAAACGCGTGCAACAAATTGCAAATATTGTACTTACCTATAAATAGGTTCCTCAAAAGTTAAAAATTAATTTTAAAAAAATCTCAAATTTGGTCTAAAAATGTGATTTTGAACGCCTATTTTATTTAATTTTTTATCATTCTGTACAACAGAACTTTTTACATTAAATTTTGTTTTTATACCTTTTTGTATGAAAATTGGTTTTCTGAAAAACTTGCAATTTGTGTAAGTGTATTTGTTGCTTTTGATTATCATTGTTTAATTTCGATGAATTCATAAATTAAATGCTAGTAGTGTACTTACATACAAATATCAAAACTTAAATCATTGCCCAAATAGCTTGTATTTTTGAAAGTCTTCTTTCTTTCCTCCTTCCCTGGAGCGGGCCCTTTAAGCACAATTGAACTTGTTGCACAAACAAAAGAGAATCCAGCTCGCAATCCCAGCTCATATCTCACAACAATATTATATCACGGAAATCTGTTTGGCCAACGTAGACAAAACATTTGCACAAAACAAAAAAAAACAGGTCCAAATTAAAATAAAACAAGAAAAACTCATGTCCAAGATGGGCGGATGGGTATGGAGGTGCGGATGCGGATGGCGGCGGAGGACACAAGAAGGTTGGTAAGGTATCCGGGGCCATTTTTGCTGGCTCAGCAAGTAAATGCACCTGTGCACTCTGAAATCCTTTACACAGAGCAAACAGATATACAAACACACAGATACTCTCACGCACACATGTATCCACAGAGAGAGAGAGAGAGAGAGAGAGAGGGGGGGCAGAGCGAGAGAGACGAGTATTATATACGAGCCAAAACAAATCGAGCGACTTATCAGGGCTAAAACATCTCGCATTGACTTATGCACTGGAAAATGGAACAATGGATGGCCAGCCAAATGGGACTGGAAACGGTGACGCTCCGCTCCGACGCTGGCCAGCGGAAGCGGCTATGTAGGAATGTGTGAGGTAGTGTTCACAGAGAGGGCCAGAGCCAACATACAATATCTACTCGTAGATATGGCCAAGTGGGCGGAGCCGAGGCAGCATAATGTGTATATGTATCTATGTGAGCTCGCTTTTATGTGTATGTGTGCCACTTTTTATGCGCTCCATGGCAATTCCAAAACGCCTACTTCAGAGAGCAGAGACGAGACCCACAACAGCGGCTATTCCACCACCAAAATTGACCCCATCCAGAGCAGAGCCAAGCGGATGGATGGGGACACACGAAACCAAACCGAAATGAGACATAGAGAGCAAGCAAGCCAAAGTTTCTGCTCCTGCACAGTGGGCCGAATGTTCAATTCAAAGTTACATAAAAGATATACATATATACGTATGCATATATTATTTATGATCACACTGTAATTTATTTGTCTTGCCCTAATTTGATTGTAATTTGATTAGCCCGGTACTCGAAGAGTTAAGGGGTATATTCGATTTGTGGTTGAAGTCGATTTGTGCAAAGCAGTTAAGGAAACGTTTCCGACCCCCTAAAGAATATATATTCTTGATCAGCATCAACAGCCGAGTCGATATAGCCATGTCTGTCTGTCCGTCCGTCTTTCCGTCTTGTTTGACACCCAGTTTTCAGCGACTATAAGAACTAGAGCATTAAAATGTGGTGTGTGCATAGGGCACACTAATGCTTCTCTGCCGCTGAGGCAAGCGAGCAGAATATGAAGCCGTTTGTGCATAGCCCGAAGCATGTTTCTCTGCCGCTACGTCATCAGCGCAGAAAAACGAAACCACACGAAGTCTTTACGCTGTACTTGTGCCGACTGCGCTGCCCGAAATTTTTTCCTATGCACAGTGCATACGACGCTGCCGGCCTCTGAACTAGAGCATCAAAATGTGGTGTGCAGATTCTCATGTGATATTACACTGAATCAAGTTTGTATCAACATTTTTCCACTCCCCTTTCCACACCTACAAAAAGTTTGTATCAACATTTTTCCACTCCCCTTTCCACACCTACAAAAATCATAAAGAATGACCATATCTATTGCCGAATCTGGATCAAATCGGATCATTACTATAGCCAGAATGAAGAAATTAATACGCAGTGACTAAGATACCCCCTTCCACTGCTTACTCGCTCCTGCCTCTCGCACGCACACTCTGACACCAAACAACGTTCCGCATCGTTTTTAAATTTATATTTCATTCCACAACATACTGCTGCATTTATATTTGTGTTGATATTATCTACCCGCAGAGTATGTTTGCGGAATAGTTGTGGAATAGTTTCCCATGGACTCAATTTTCTTCCATATGTTAGCAGTATTCTTCGCTTCTGGCCCCACTGTGCAGTGGCAAGCTCTCAGTTGGCTTTTCTCTCCTCTTGGTTGGTGCTCTGGCTCTGCTCTCTCGTGGCTTGCTGCTGTTGGTGTTGCTGTTGTTGTTATTGCTGCTGCTGCTGCTGCTGCCGACAAGTGTGCGGTGGCGGCAGGGCGAGCTTTTCTCCATTTTCCAATTCCAATTCCAGTTCCAGCAGGAGTCAAACGTGACAGCCAGCAGCGAATGGCGTTCAAGCTGCCGCTGCCGATGCCGATGTAGCTGTTGTCGTGGTCGTCGCATTCGGTTTTTTGCATGTCGTGTCTATAGCTTTACCGTTACCGCTACTTACACACTACACCACTCGTACATGTACATATATAAAATTGAGGCGCTGCGCGCGTCGCGGCCATTCCAGGCCATCCCAGCCACCCTTCAGTCATCAGCCAGAGCCGGAGCCAGAGCCAGAGCCAGAGTCATTCGCCACCGTTAACTCTTTGAAACTGGACGCAGTGAGCGGCAGAAAACGCGTTCGCGACAAAAATCATAAATTCCAAGTGAGCAACGAGAGAGAGAGAGAGAGAGCAGTCACACAGATAATGCCAAAAAGATAGTTAGTGCCCAAAGTGATCCACACTCGAAAAACGAGGAAAATTTAAGGAAGAAGAAAGATTAAAGAAAAACTTCGGCGAGTATCCAAGTGCCAAGTGCGAGTTGCCCCCCCGATAGCCCCGATAGTTGCCCTATTTGAGTCCCCTGCCCCGACCCTCGCATGTGAGACCGGCCGGTCGCGGTCGATCCAATGAAAATGGAAGATCCCACTATAGCCGATACGTACGTGCAGGAGTTCGATCTGCACCACCTGGAGGTGCCGGTTGCAGGCAGCAGCGCCAATCCCAACAACAGCAACACCATCAACAACGCGACGGTGGCCGCCGCCATCGGTCACGTGAAGCGGGAGGATCACAGTCCGCCTCAGCCGGTGGCGGTCAAGTGGACCACTGTGCATGGGGAGCCACCGGTTGCCGAGGAGGTGGTGCCGGAGCCACTGGCCCTGGCTGTCCCAGACGCAGCCGTAGCCGAGGAGGTCTCACCGTCGCCACACATCAAGCTTCGCTCCTTCTCGGGCCACCAGTGGCACATAGATGAGCGCCGGCTGCAACCTCTCTCGCCACCGCCGGAGCAGTACGGCCCGATGCCCGGACAGGCCATATTGGTCAACACATCCTCCTCTTCGGCCGCCGGAGTGCCAGGCGGCGTGCCTTCCACGCCGCCGGAGACTCCGCCGGTGGTGGGTTCACCAACGGGCAGTAGCAGCTGTAGGAAGGAAGCAGCGCCAGTGGTCAGTGCCGGACTGAGCCACGAAATGATGTGGCTGACCAACTCCATACGTGCCGACCAGCAGCCCCTCGATCTGCGGCCGCTGCCCTATCCCGGCTCCCAGGAGGAGGCCGAGGAGTGGGATCGCCAGCGAGACTACGCCCTGCAGGCGGCCGCCGCCGCCCACCATCACCACCATGGGCAGCCGCTGATGCAGAGCCAACACCATCCGCACCCATATCCGCACGGACATCCCCACGCGCATCCGCATCCGCACCCGCACCCGCATCAGGTCGTGCTCCAGCAGGCCAAGTATCCGCATCACCACTTCCACAACCTCGACCTTGCCCCCATCAACATGCACTCGAACCCACACGCCCACTCGCACACGGCCACGTACGCGGCAGCCTCCGGCTCGGTCACGCCCAGCTGCCTGCCCCAGGTTCCGAGCAACATCAGCAGCGGCAGCAGCAGTGTGGGAGGGGGCTGCGTGCTCACCCGAGCGGCCCTCCAGCCCTGTCGCCCCATGTCGGCCAGCTCGACGAGATCCTCGACCAACATGTCGCCCAGGACCTGCTCGGGAGCGTACAGCAACGCCACGCTGGAGGACTGCATCAACGACGACATGCTGACCACGCTGACGGTGCGGGAGCTGAACAAGCGGCTCCACGGCTGCCCGCGAGAGGAGGTGGTGCGCCTGAAGCAGAAGCGGCGGACCCTGAAGAACCGCGGCTACGCCCAGAACTGCCGCTCCAAGCGCCTCCACCAACGCCACGAGCTGGAGAAAGCCAATCGCCAGCTCAACCAGGACCTGCACCGCCTCAAGCACGAGTACTCGCGTGTATGCCAGGAGCGAGACGCCCTCATGCAGCGCCTCCAAAGGATCGGTGCTGCCGGGGAGGGGGTCCGGCTGCAGCTGGCGACAGCCAGAGCTCGCCGGAGTTCTACCTATGACGCCAGCTGGCGGCAGCCACCACCTCCTCCTCAACAGCCTCGCATCAGCAACGTGGCCACCAGTGGGCAGCCCAGCAGCTGGCCAACTGAATGGCTAAATGGAACTAATTCCAAAAGGTATTTTCCCCCAGGAGTTTCCCCCATCCCCACCCATCTATCTAGTTTGTGTGGTTCTGTTTCAGGAAAGGCCATAAGCCTATCCCAATTCTCTCTTTTTTAGGATTGTGACAATAAATTGCGTTTACATATAAGTTTGAGATCTTTTAAAGCTCTAGCTATAGATATAGAGAGAGCGAGAGAGAGCGAGAGAGAGCGAGAGAGAGTACGAGATCAGGGAGAGTGGGCATGTTTGGAGGGAACTTTAGCTGATTATCAGCCTGACTATAGGCAAAAATTGATTATTGATTGTGAAAAAACAAAAAACGCATTTGTATAAAGAACAAACATTGTATAGAGGAAAGACGAAAAGCAAAATCAAATCAAAATCGAAATCGAAAAAAGGAATAGGAGAAGGAAAAGGGAAGAGTGAAGAGTGGAGAATCATTTGCAGCTTCTGATTAACGATCGCTACATTGTATTACGATTAAAAATTACAAATTACGAGTTAGTAACACACGCTTATTTGTTGATTAGTTCTAGCCTTAGTTTCCCTTCTAGTATTAAGCGAGCAGAAGCGTATAGATATCATAACTGAAACAAATAACTGAAAGGTAGCTGTAATGTTGATCGTAGGGGCGCGTTTTTTGTCGTTTTCTGTGTGTTTCCTCTTTCGTTCCACCATAAACATACTAAACTAAAGGTTGTATTACGTTTAAATACTTCAAGTACTTGTACTGATAAAATACCACACTCGAAACCGAACCGATTCTGTAAAAAGTGCAACTGAAGAGTAACCAAAACAAAAACAAAACAAATCAAAACTAAACTGAACAAACAAGTCCTATATAATGTAATAATGAAAATGAAGAGCGCTCATTGCAAGCGATAATGTATATATACACATCCACACACCGATTTGAATAAAAAGAGATACAAAGATACAACGCCAATTCTGTACACTTAAGGTTCTATGGGAAACATTCGAATGGAATGTGAAATGTCAAGCACAGGACGACGAATCCTGAACACTGAAAACTGAATGCAAGAAATTATAAATAAATTAAAATTAATGAAACATTGTGAGTAGTCGATAAGTGTGCATAAATCAAGTTAGTAATAAATCTAATTTAAAAATACAAGTCCAAGTGTATCTTTTTCTGTGTACATATCTACATATATGTATGTACATGTCCAACAAGCGAGTAACAACTAAAAGCCCCCATAAACAGAGAGGAGGATCTCAAGGCTTGTTAATTCCCTGATGAAATTTATTTCAGAATTCCTTAAACCTGGAAATGGGTTCAACGTTTATGTTCTATCCATTTGTACAATGCACAAATGGTAAAATTGTGGAAAAATTGCAAATTTAAATTACAGCTGAAAGGTATATAAATATATAAGTCGGGTCCCCAGTATCCCTATAGATGGGGGTACTTTTAAAGATCCTATGGCCCGACTGCCGTCTCTGTGTGACATTTTAAAGCTTATAAATCTCCTGCTCCTGTACATATGTATGTACGTACCTGAAGTACCTGAAGCACCTGAATCTGATAGCTGACACTCAGGAATGGATAATATGAGGAAAACTATGCTTACTTTTTGTTCGAGGTCCCTTCATTTTACATTCGATTAAAAAGCAAACTACATTCTAGTCAGGTGGGATCTTATTATTTTCTAACATCAGGAAACTGGATTGCCGAGGATGCACGAGCTGCGAGGTGTTGGGTACACGGATAGACTCCCGATAAATCATCTTCGCTTAAGAAATATAGTCCAGCTACACCAACCTCCAGCAAACAATAAAGAATGTATTAAGCCAAAGAAAGACCGTTACTTGTATATATTTAATTAAAAACAATGCCCAAGTACAAGCTGATCAGTCCCGATCTAGGCATATCTACATATATCTCTGTGCATATCTGTAACTACTGCCTCGGACATTATAAATAAATAAAACATTAGCGGGGGGTCATCTGTCGGGGGTCTTTGAAAGTACCGGAACCGTAAGTGTCCGCCCCACAAACAGCTTTCACTGTACCGAAAATCGTACGACTGATTAATTGATGCAATAAATTGCTGGATAGGATGATATAACTTTGCAGATCTTCAATCTTCGTGCCCCACATCGAACTTCTTTCTCTAGCAGATGCGATCGAGGTTTCTGTTTAAAACCCTTTGGCTCAATCTCAGCTTGCACCCTTGGTGGGGGCGATCGCGATCTCCCCCTCAGTTTCACAGAACTGCATACGTTGTGTGGTCTGTCGGCATTGATAAAGCGAACCAGAATCAACATAAACAAATCCAGTCCAATCCAATCCAATCCAATCTCCGGAGTCCAGACTCCGATAGTGTCAGCAGTCCCACTGAGTGCCCCCAAAGTACTATCAACAAACACGAGTCGCGTAACGGCGCATGCAGGAGCAGAAGGAGGCGATGCCGATGTGGATGGCGATGGCGATGCCGATGGAGCTGCAGCATCAAATTACAATCATCAACATGAAGATCAACAACATCAGAAGCGTTCCCCAAGAGGGGACTGAGAGACCGAGACCACCGCCATTGACTCTGACTCTGGCTCTGGCTCGGAGTGGCAGTCCAAGAGCCCATCAGGCGTGGCGGCGTAATTCGGTAAAGTGTCGATCCGGGCATCAGATCGGCTCTGGATATGGATGTGGATGTGGATCAGTGTTGGACCTTGTAATTGTTCATTAATAAAACTTTAGTTTTTCAAGTTTGTTTGTTTTCATTGCATTTCAGATTTGGCTCTGATTGGGGTCCCGGCCTGAGTTCGGCCGTTTTTATAGGGCTCTGGGTCTTGAATTTATTTATTATTTTGATTATATGAATTTCCTGTCTTCCCGGGTACTCGAGTCTCCCTCCTCCTCCTTCTCCTCCTCCTCGATGGCGGTCGTCTTTGAGCGTCTTATGCTTATGTGCAATGAGACGGGCCACAACCCGATCGACCAAGTTGCGCAACAATTTTTGTCGAATTTGATTTTTTACGAGTATTATTTGCCCAAATGATGACGACGACACGACCATCAAGTGGCCATTTTATTGCGAGCTCTTTTCATTTTGTTCTTTATTCTTTATCATTATTTATTTTGGTTCTAGCTCGCTTCTTGGCCAGCAGGAAGTGTCGGATTTCATTTCGTTTTCGGTCATGAAATCGGCGCATGCAAGAAGTTAATAAGCGAAGGGAAAGGAGACCGCTTCTAGCCGCCATTTAAATAAATATAAATGTGTAACATTTCGGTAAAGCAAAAACGGTTCTCCATGCAGCCAGGCTCCATACCATTTTGATTCTCTGTCCCAACCCATATGTAGCTACTATTCCTTCTATTCGGAACCAACTGCAATATATTTCTCTCTTAAGCTGTGCGACATTTTGGGTTTCTTTGGTTTCAAGTGCAGATTAAACAATAATTATGAAATTCTGATGCAAATCGCTGGCGACCGAAAGTCTTTCTCCAGCCTGTGCTCTCCTTTCGCCGCAGCCGGAGGCAGCCAGACACGAGTGAATTCAGGCAGCTTGAGTGGATGTCAAGTGTGGATGGAGAGGACGGAGAAGACTGGGGGTGAGGGTGTGGGTGTGGGCTGGGCTCTTGTCAAACGAAATTTATAGACACGACAATGACAATCGGTAAATTGTCATGACCATGGGGCTAAGTTCATCTCGGGCATAATCAGTGCTTGGGGGCAGGCGGCGGGCGGCAGGCAGAGTCAGGACGATGCCATCTCGGCCAACTGGGATGATTGTCAACATTATTATGGTCCGCACACCGTTTGATTATGCTGCGTACTCGGGGCACTCTTTTTATGCCTGCACTGCGACGTGTGACGGCTTTGATGAGCGGCAGCTATGGTATTGGATAGGATGGGATGGTATGGGATGGGATGGGATGGGATGGGGTCGAGTCGGACAGGGAATCGGAATCTCTAGCAGGTCGTCTGGTGCGGGGGGTTGGTGCGTTTTTTATTACGTTCCTCAAGTGGATGAGCCAGCCAGCATCGAGCCCCGAACGACGACCGTCAAGCGACACGCTTAAGTGGCTGTCCCTGCCTCATCTCCGGGTCTGCCATCAGACCCCCCGTCCCCCGTCCCCGTCCCTGCTCGGTTTGTCTTAATTCAATCGATAGTTCACACATGTAATCGCATGGATGGCCGGATGATTGGGGGGCTTCTTCCTGCTCTTTGCCTGTACTCTGCTACTCTGTTTCCTTCTTCTGTTTCGCTGCCTTTCACCGTGTCATGTCTATCGCGTGTTCCTCTTTGGTTTGCATGCCACACACGTAGCGTTGACATTGACGGAGGGTGGGGTGTGGGGGCGGGTGGTGTCTCTGTTTTGTTCCCATTTTCCGATCTGACTTTAACCTTAAATCGCCAACACATTAGTTCCCATTCAAAACATTTGCGCCGTCATTCCTGGTGGCAGCCACTCATTAGCTTAATGAAGATTTCCAGTGCTCTACTCTGTGGTCCTTCAAAGGCTCATTAGTCGCCGCTTTGTTCAGTTCAGCTCAGTTCAGGCTCAGTTCAGTCTCAGTTCCTTTCTCTGGGGAAAGTTTTTCCAAAATATGCTCGTAAATCTCATTTTGGCAGCGCTGAAAAAAGAAAATTTATCGCGTCAAAGGACAAGTGCCAAAAAGTTTTTGGCCAAAAGCTTATCAATCATTGACGTATGTGAATGGGGGTGGATGGGGTGGGTGGCAGGATGATGAAGTTTCGCCATGAATTTTAGTAAACGTAAACTATAACTTCTCTAACAGCTCGTTTTTACACCACTTTTTTTACGAACCTAATCAGAAAGTGAGCCCTGGAATCGAGCAAACCATATTGACCTTCAACCGATAATTCCTATAACAGCAATACGAAATAGGGATTCGATCCGACTGACATTCTGCTTCTACCTGTCTGTCATCTTGATTTAATCAATGCGATAGATATGGTGTGTTTTCTTGAGTTCTGGTATGCTAACCAGTGGT